TAGGAGCAGTAGTTTGTTTGTTCTGTTTGAGAAAAGAGAAGCACAACGACACAATAATGGTCATTGAGTGCTGGGGGTAAAAGTAAAGCAAATAGACAATAACAACAAAGGGAAAGTAAGGGTGAAGGACCGAACAGTCGCTACCTCAGAATTGAGAAAATCGAAGGTAAAGTTTTTGCCCCTTGTTCAGTTTCTTTAAAAGACAGGCAGAGTTTTCTCCATAACCAAACAAATATACACACCAATGAAACCAAGCTTTTCCTATAGGTAGGACAATGCACACATTTGGTGTAGGTCAAGATTTATGGAAACCCCTGAAATTTGGGTTAGCCCGCTTGTCCTTAAAAAGTTATGTCTGGAGTGTAACGTCCATCTCTGAATATCTGGTGCATCTCCGAAAGGACCGAGCTATGTGGGAAATTCGTGTAAACTGTCTTCCACAAGGACAAAACGTCGGCCCGAGCTGAGGCTCGAACCTCCGAACCCGCAATCTCACGATAACGGAGTCCGGTAGTCTAACCAAAGCCACTAGACCACCGACGCCACTCCACAGTCGCCGGTACAAAAGTGATAAGCAGAAGGAAGAAGCCAGATTACTGACAGTATGAAGGGCAGAATCACACGGCACTGGGAGATAATAAACTAAATTCAACAGGACAACCACGAAAAGACTAAAGTTTCTAGGTAAAGGCCATTTGCGCCAATAGTAACTGAGAAATCTGAAGTGAACACAGCGATTACGTGACAAGGATTTAATAAATAAGGAAAGTTCCTTTACAAGGATTTGATAAATAAGGAAGGTTACTATGCAAAAGTATAATAAATAAGGAAGGTTGCTATACAGTAATTTGATAAATCTGGGAAGTTTTGTTTACAAAAGGTCGTGATAAATAAGGAAAATCTCTATGCAAGAGTTTGATCAATATTGGATGGTTTCTTTACAACAAGTTGTTGAATAAGGGAAGTTTTCTCTACACATATACAACAACTTGAAAAAAAAAAAGAGAGAGAGAGAGAGAGAGAGAGAGAGCGAGAGAGAGAGAGAGAAAGAGAGAGAGAGA